AAGGGAGTAAGTCCATGGTTCCCATCTTTCTGTCTCTCCTCAATTCAAACCCAGTGAAATTTGAATGTTGGACAAATAATGAATTTTTTTTAGTATAAGTATGTCCCAAATATTGCATGGGACATATTTACACTAAGAAGTTGTTTTTTGTTTATCTGGCATTCCAACAGCATCTTGTAATTTGCTAAGTCTGGCAACCTTATCTCAAGGTGGGCAGTGATCCTACCGTGTGTGTGTGTGTGTGTGTGTGTGTGTGTGTGTGTGTGTGTGTGTATTGGGAGTTCACTGAGGACAGGAGCCCATATGGCCCTGTTTTTGCCATCTGTGCCCTGTACGTGCCATGAGGTAATAATTCCTGCACAGGTGCAGAAGTAGAAGGAGAGCCTGGGAAGGGGACTCCCAGTGTCTGGCAAATATGGCTGAATTCTGAATTGGAGGTTCCCTCTGTGGTAAGGAAAGCTGGCCTGACCTGAAGTGAAAGTTAAAGCTGACTTACCTGGATTCACTTAGCTTTTCTGTTAGTCTTTCACTGGTGAGTATTCAAATCTGACCAGAAAGTTAAAATTAGCCTTAGAGATGTGTAAACTTATTCAAAGAAAGGGAAAGAGGAAGGGGCCCAAGATGGCTAGATGCGTCAGGCAGAAATGTCTGTGGGTCCCATGGAATAGGTGAGGAGTCCATGTTAGCACTGGAACTGCTGGCCCAGGAGACAATTCAAGGGCAGACCCTGTGGTCCTTCCTGTGGTCCTTCCTGGGGGGATGTCAAGGAGAGGACAGGGCAGGCAAAATGCTGGGACCAGGCTCTTGCCTCTGATTCTGAGGAATGCAGAGCTAGGAGGGGATGCCACTGGGCTATAAACTCTCCCAACAAGAGGGTAGTCAATTCAACAGCGCCTACTGGGAGAGAAATTACCCTGGCTTGGGGGTGGGGGTTCTGGGGGCTACTTCCAGCCCTGCCACTAAGTCGATCTGGAACCTTGAATAAGCCCTTACTACCTGTGGCCTTTTTATCTTTGGCCCTGTAAAAATGTGGCAGTGGAGGGTATATTACATTTCCATTATGGTTTCTCTTAGTTCTAAAATTCTATTGGTCTATGTATAATTTTATGCCTTCTCATGACTCCAGTTGTGTGCTCACCGGCCAGGTAAGAGAGCCGGTAACCACACTTCATCAATAACCCTTACTATATCTGAAGATTGCTTTTTCATTTTTCCCTCAGCATTTTCCCTCATGCAGGCAAAATATCAAAATCCTTTTTTCTAAGGTCTCTATTCAAATGAGTTAATCAGTGAGGTCTACTCTTTTCTAAAAGCCTCATGTTGACACAGCAATTAGTAACTCCATGAGACCAGAGGCTACAATTAATGTTTCAGTCCCAGTTCACTATTCATTCATTCAGCAGATATTTACTGAGCTCAGGTGATGGATGGCAGATTTGAGCTTTGAGAGGAACATTTCAAGAGAACTATGAAACATGGCAAACTCTAGGTGACCTGAGACCCAGTTCCTCAAATGATTTGCTTCTCTCTTCTGTTGCTGGACTCTTGGGAGTTTCAGGTTCAGCCACCTGCCCATCAAATGGTAGAAGCAAAATGAAAATGAGTTCTTGTTGACAGTTGAGTGAGAGGTTAAATGTGTTGGCTAAGTTGAGGTATTTGAATAATCTGTGGGTTTCCACCTCCCTGTAGCCGTGGGCCTCCAACAGCGGACATACTGAGAACTGGCTCTTTCTCCCGGGAGCGCATAGCATCCCTCTGGGATATCCTTCTCTTACCCGCTTCTTCCTTGCCCTCTGTCCACAGTGCTGCACTTGAGATGGAGTTACTGCCCCTCTGGCTCTGCCTGGGTTTTCACTTCTTGACAGTGGAATGGAGGAATCCAAGTGGAAATGTCATGGCCACTTCCCAAGGGGGCTGTGAGTTGGTGAGTTTTCCCGGGCACTCCAAGTTGTCTGTTGCTCCTGTCCTGACGAGGTTGGGTCCATTTGGAAAGCTGATGGATTGTCAGTCAAGGAGGGAAGGGAATGAATAAGTCTGAATCACTCTGTACCTACTTACCACGATGCCATGTGCAAGCTGCTCTTTAATCAAAGGTAAAGATGATGCCTGGGAAAGGCCCTGCCCCACCTTTCTCATACCTGCTAAGGACAGGTGATCCCAGAGACAGGCCAAGGTCAGCCACCTGGAACAAGAACACCTTGTTAAGAATCTGGATGATGGAGCTCCACTAATGGTATCAGAATCTCTTGGTGGGGGGGAATATTAAAGTTGAAGAAGCCCTGACTCAGAGTCTGTGTGTGAGCCCGTGGCAAATGCTTAACCAGCTGTACTGAAGAGCACGCTGCCCAGGCTGCCCTGCACAGCAACGTCCTTGACCACGCTCAGGCTTACAGCAATCCGGGGAGAGATGCCTGAGCTTTTACGGTTCACCCTCTCCAGGGCTTTCAGCCTATATGTGGATGCAGACTTGGCTCCTAATAACTGAGCACTCTCTAGAAATTTTCTCCTTTGCCTATAACTTAGTGGTATTAAAAGTTGAGCAACATACATTTAATGAATATTCCTTGAGCCGTGTTATATACTGGGCACTGGGAAGACAAAATGGATGTCAGGGTTAATAACATTCAAAAATGTGTTCTTAAAGGTGATGAATCTTAAAAACCCAGCTGGTCGTGGTTCTTGACCACTTTTAGTAACCTCTAACCACTGCGCTGAAGTAGACTTCGGTAGGGGGTAGGGATTGTGAGCCAGACCAGGTTTAAATCCCAGCCCCACCACTTACTAGCTGGTGACATTGGGCCAATCTGTGCTTCAGTTTCCTCATCTGTAAAATATGTAGGTAATAATAGTACCAACCAATAATACCATAACACTGGGCTGCAATGATGACTAAATGAGTTAATGTATGTAAAGCACTCAGAACAGTGCCTTGTGTGTAGTAAGTGCTATGTGTTTTATCTACTGTTATTATTCTTTTTTTTTTTTTTTTGCGGTACGCGTGCCTCTCACTGTTGTGGCTTCTCCCGTTGCCGAGCACAGGCTCCGGACGCGCAGGCTCAGCGGCCATGGCTCACGGGCCCAGCTGCTCGGCAGCATGTGGGATCCTCCCGGACCGGGGCACAAACCCACGTCCCCTGCATCGGCAGGCGGACTCTCAATCACTGCACCACCAGGGAAGCCCTACAGTTATTGTTGTTAGTCTCTGCCATACAGACGTCCATTGTTCCCTTACAGAGACAATGAAAGATTAACTTCACAGTAGCTAATTCAGGAGTTACCAGGCATAAGAAGAGGAGGGAATAAAGCGCAAGTTCTTTGACAGCTTGCAGGGTTCAGGCTAGACTCCCTGCCTGACCCTCTGCAGCCTGGTGGGCAGGAGTAGGGACTCGGCTACCAGTGAGATCAAAGAGTGGCTTTCCAGTGCTCTTTTGAATTGAGGGTTGAGAGATTGAAAGTCCAGCTACTCTCCAAAGCCCCTCCTTGCATTAGCCATGCAACATTATCACGAAGTGTATGTGGTAAGCTTCCTTGGGCTCTGATGGCCACGTGGACTTTTTGCAACACATCAGTGGGGCTGCAGGAATTGCAGAGACATGTCCCCAGCAACTGCAGCAACTCTGGTGAAACAGGGTCTCACAGCTTGAGGAAAGCCCCTAACCACAGCACTCTCCAGTCCACACGGGGGGAAGACCAACACTTACTCAAATAAAGAAATACATCTTGTTTCTGTATGGGGAGATTCAATTTTGTAAAGATGTCAGTTCTCCCCCAAATTACTCTGTGATTATAATGCAATCCCAATCAAAACTCCAAAGACTTTTTTGGAGGGGAGGGGAGGTGTAGAAAGAACTAGAAAAATTCATTCTAACATTCATCCGGAAATTAGATATAACTCAAATGTTCAACGATAGGAGATTAACTAATTAGAGCATGCTAATAATTGTTCCAGCAAACATTTATTAAGCATTTATGTGACAGGTTCTATGTTAAGTGCTTTACATAAACAATCACACTGAATCCTAAAAAGAAAAAAAAACCCAAGGGAAAATTACAAGTATAATTTACATTTTACAGGTGGTGTAATGAAGGTCCCAACTGGTTAGGCACCAGCCCAAGCTCACCCATTTGATAAAAAGCAGAATCAAGATGGGCTGATCGTAGAGATCTGGCTCTTAGCCACTGTGCTATTCATGCAATGAACTAATATACAGTTGCCTAAAAGAATGTGATCAAATTTACTTTTATTGCCAAGGCAATATATCTATCACATATTATTAATGGGGGAGGGGAGGAAGTCGCTTACTGAATGGTTTGTAGAGTACAGTCTCATTTTAAAATGTTTTTTATTTTTTATTTAAAATTGAAGTATAGTTGATTTACAATGTTGTGTTAGTTTCAGGTATACAGCAAAATGATTCATGTGTGTGTGTGTGTATATATATATATATATATATATATATATATATATATATATATATTCTTTTTCAGATTATTTTCCTGTACGGGTTATTACAAAATATTGAGTACAGTTCCCTGTGCTATACAGTAGGTCCTTGTTGGTTATCTATTTTATATACAGTAGTGTGTATATGTTAATCCCAAACTGCTGATTTATCCCTCCCTAATGGTAACCATAAGTTTGTTTTCTATGTCTGCGGGTCTATTTATGTTTTGTATATAAATTCATTTGTATCCTTTTTTTTTTTTTATAGATTCCACATATAAGCGATATCATATGATATTTGTCTTTCTCTGCCTAGCTTACTTCACTTAGTATGATAATCTCTAGGTCCACCCATATTGCAAAGAAAAATTTTTTTAAGTTAGAGAATGTCTTTGGGAAAGAGTCCAGAGGAGATGTAACAAAAGGTTAACAACGTTTCTTTGAAGGAGAGGCTGAGGTTACTGAATAGTTTAATTTTCATTATTTCTACAGTGGATCAATTTTTAATTATGAGAAGTTTTATTTTAATAATCAGATAAAGAACTTGGGGTTCCAAGAGGTTAATTCCTTGCCCAGAGACCAAAGCTAATAAGTGTCAGAGCCAAGATTCAGACTTGAGTCTGTCATCTTTTCCAAAGCTGTGCTTCTTCCTCTCTCTCAGGAGTTTTCTCCCCTGTTCCACTACTCTGCTTGCCCCGTGGGACTGGGCCCACAATTTTAGGCAATCACTGACCTTGTTGTACTGACCAATCTGTGGAAAGAAATGCCATTGCCCTTCCATCTCATCACTTACAACTTTTTTCCTGGACACCGAAGGGATACCCTGTGGATGATTGCTTTTCCCAATCTTGTAGAAAGTGGGCTGAAGGAAAGTATCCTGAGGCTTGTGTGATTCCTGCAGTGAGACCAGACCCATCCATCCTGGCAGCTTCGCCACACAGTCGCGGTAGAATGGCGTTCAGGAAAAGCACTGGATTGGGCGATAAGAGCTCTGGGCTCCGGTCCCAGCTCTGTCACTGGCTCTTCACCTGTCCTCTCCAGACCCTTTTACTTCTCCATATGATTCAGGCTGGTGATGAACTCTCACGTCCTCTTGAGCTGTAATATTTATCAATCGAGAGCATAAAGGAGGCTCCCAGGCAAAATTCCTTCAGGTAAAATGAAGATGCCACAGTGCTGCTGGTTCTTGGGCAGCGTCCCTGTTAAACACACAGCGTTATGATCATAGCGATAACAATGCAATAGTGACCATTTGCATTAATAGCGTCCACTGTGTGCCAGGCACTGTGCAGCCTCTTGCCTAATCTCACTACAATCCTCTGAAGTAGGTGCTAACTTTATCTCCATTTTTCTGAGGAAACAATAGATTTAGATTATTTGCTCAAGGTCCCATAGGGAATAAATGGCAGAGGTGGGATTCAAACCCAAGTAGAGACCTGATCCTCAGTTCCTCTCTGTAGTTAACACCAAACTGCAATACAATGGTCAGCACTCAGCACCCGATGGACAGGTTCTCAGATCTTCTCTAATATGCTGTGTGTGTTGAGTGAGGCCTGGAGCCTTAGTGAACAGTCTGATGAGTGAACTAAGTTTCTTTACACAAACCCTCACCTCAGAGGCCCCCGCCCTGCTGACGTGTGTTTTTGGACCTAGCTGGATGGAGTCGCTGACTGTCGAGGGCAAAACCTTGCTTCAGTGCCCAGCAATCTCCCGCCATCCTCCCAGACACTCCTCCTGGATGCCAACCCTCTCAAGACCCTGTGGAACCACTCGCTGCAGCGTTACCCTCTCCTGGAGAACCTCAGTCTGCACAGCTGCCACCTGGAGCACATCAGCCGTGGCGCCTTCCAGGAGCAGGCTCGCCTGTGCAGCCTGGCACTGCCTGACAACTCACTCTCCGAGAGCTACAAGGAGACAGCAGCTGCCCTCCACGGCCTGCGGGGTCTGCGCAGGCTGGACTTGTCAGGGAACTCCCTGACGGAAGACATGGCGGCCCTCATGCTACAGAACCTCTCTTCGCTGGAGTCCGTGTCCCTGGCCAGGAACACCATCATGAGGCTGGATGACTCTGTCTTTGAGGGCCTGGGCCACCTCAGGGAGCTGGATTTGCAGAGGAACTACATCTTTGAGATTGAGGGTGGTGCTTTCGACGGCTTGCCTGAGCTGAGACACCTCAACCTGGCCTATAACAACCTTCCTTGCATTGTGGACTTTGCCCTCACCCAGCTGCGGTCCCTCAACGTCAGCTACAACGTCCTGGAGTGGTTCCTGGCATCGGGGGGAGAGGCCACCTTTGAGCTAGAGACGCTGGACCTCTCTCACAATCAGCTGCTGTTTTTCCCCCTCCTGCCTCAGTGCAGCAAGTTGCACACCCTCCTGCTGCGGGACAACAACATGGGCTTCTACAGGGACCTGTACAACACCTCGTCCCCGCAGGAGATGGTGGCCCAGTTCCTCTTCATGGACGGCAACGTGACCAACATCAGCACCGTCAACCTCTGGGAAGAGTTCTCTTCCAGTGACCTCTCTGATCTCCGCTTCCTGGATATGAGCCAGAACCAGTTCCAGTATCTGCCAGACGGTTTCCTGAAGAAAATGCCTTCCCTCTCCCACCTGAACCTCAACCAGAATTGCCTGATGACGCTCCACATCCGGGAGCACGAGCTGCCAGGAGCGCTCACCGAGCTGGACCTGAGCCAGAACCAGCTGTCGGAGGTGCACTTGGCTCCGGGGCTCCCTGGCTGCCTGAGGAGCCTCCGGTCCTTCAACCTGAGCTCCAACCAGCTCCTGGGTGTCCCCACTGGCCTTTTTGCTGATGCCAGTAACCTCGCTACAATCGACATGAGCCACAATCAGATCTCACTTTGTCCCCGGCCGGGGGACTTAGACCCCGGGGGCACCCCCGGCTGTGTGGACTTCAGAAATGTGGCATCTTTGAGGAGCCTGTCTCTGGAGGGCTGTGGGCTGGGGGCACTACAAGACTGCTCGTTCCAGGGCATGGCCCTCACCCACTTAGACCTGTCTGGTAACTGGGGGCTTCTGAATGGGAGCATCGCCCCTCTCTGGGACATTGCCCCCACGTTACAGGTCCTGTCTCTCAGGAACGTGGGCCTCAGTTCCGGCTTCAAGGAGTTGGACTTCTCTGGGTTTGGGAATCTGAGGGACTTGGATCTGTCGGGAAATGCCTTGACCAGTTTCCCAAGGTTCAGGGGCAGCCTGGCCCTGCAGACCCTGGATCTCCGCAGAAACTTGCTCACGGCCCTTCCTCAGAGGGCTGTGTCTGAGCAGCTCATGGGAAGTCTGCGGACCATCTACCTCAGTCAGAATCCATATGACTGCTGTGGGGTGGAGGACTGGGGGGCCCTGCAGCGCCTGCACACTGTCGCCGACTTGGCCATGGTCACTTGCAACCTCTCCTCCAGGATCATTCGCCTGACGGAGCTGCCCGGAGGCGTTCCTCAGGTCTGTAAGTGGGAGCGGGTAGACATGGGCCTGCTGTACCTCGTGCTCATTCTTCCCAGCTGCCTCACCCTGCTGGTGGCCTGCACTGTCATCTTCCTCACTTTCAGGAAGCCTCTGCTTCAGGTAATCAAGAACCGCTGCCACTGGTCCTCCATATACTGACCTGGCTACGTGCCAACATTAGAAACTTGGTCTGTACACGTAAGGACACTTTCTCTGCCAGGTTTCAAGATCTGGTGCAGAGGACAAGTCTGAAGAACTGAGGTTTAAATTAAGGTTTAAAATGTTTCCATCCCTTAGTTGTCCCAAGTTCTTCCTCTATCATTGTGAAGCAACTTCAATCATCCTGGTAAAATATTTATTAAGTGACATCCTATGAAAATAAAAAATGTGTCCTATAAATATTTCTTAAATCAAATGCAGCTTGTGTTTTTTTCTTTCCTTACTTTTTTCTTTTTGGTCGTTTCATTTAGATTATTTTTGTGCCCTTCCCTTGGTGACATCCATGGAACAGGTGAGAAAGGGAAATCGTTCAGTGCTACCCTACGGCAAAAACCACTCCAAGAGCACATCCTACGGATGGCGAGAGTCAGTGTTCTGAGGGTTCCCCAAGGACAAGTCTTTCAGAGCCAAGCTGGGTAGTCTGAGATGGGACCTCTCGCCTCCTGCCTGGGCTTGCATCACCGCTGCGGCCAGAGTGGGCCTGCGGCAGAGTCCTCTCTGGGGGCCCTGGTTCCCGCCTGGAGTCTCCAGCAGGCAAACCTGACCCTTCCATGGAAAAGTTAAGAGAACAATAATCGAGGGCCCTGAGTTTATCCAGGCAGTCACTGAACGCTGGGCACAGTCCTTGTTCTAAGGGAAAGTAAAGAGGACTGCAGAAAGGAGGGAATTCTACTAACTTGTGAACTGCCCCTACTGTCCACAAAACCCACAAACAACTTCTTAGCAGATGTTCAGTATCTGTACTCACTACATTCCTAGTTTCCTTTCTCCTTCCCTCCCCTCAGTGAACGATTTCTATGCTCCTCTCTGAGGAAAAGATCATAAAGACACAGCCCTTTTGGTAGTTGAGAATTTACTCTGTCCTTACCTTTTTATCCCTGCTTACTAAATCATAAAGGGCCTAATGCAGGGGTGGTGTGGGGATGGGGAGGGGATAGAAATCCCACAGGCTGCTTACTGTTACCCTGAAGGCTAAGTGTCAACAGAAACGTTTAGGCAAACCAAAGTGATAAAATCAGTGGTGTCACTTTGGCAAAGCATTAACTTCCCTGGAATGCTCTACAAGTGTAAACAAGGCCCTTTCAGCCAGCTTCCACAGTCAATAGCATTAATGTCAGCCCGTGTTAGCTATTGCTCTTATTGTGGCATCATCTTTCCTGTCATCGTATCTCTCTCCATCATGTACTGCCCCAGCCTAGTCCCTTGGATATCTGTCCCTCGAAGCGTCTGCCCAGCGTCCTTCTGGGCAAGCCCATCAGCTAATGCCCGTAAGAACAGACTCTCCTCCGCCATCAACAAAAACTCTTTCCCGGGGTCCTGCTGTTTCCCAAGGTGACAATTAGCTAATTAGACAAATGAATCTATCTGTGGCTGGTACGTGGAAGGCTTCTCTTGAGTTAATGTTTCACCCCCTGTGTCAGCCAGTGTTCTTAGCTTCTTGCAACTAAGGATGACTCTGTGTGATTTAAGCAGCATGGGGATTTAGTAAAAGGATACTGGGAAGCTCTAGACTCTCTGGGAAGGCTGAGGAAAAGACTTTAAAAATGGGCAGGAACAGGAGATGCTACACAGCAGTGGGGACCTCAGCCCAAATCACACCATAAACAATAATTGTGGGAACAGGACTGCAGCCTCTCCCTACTGCTGGACACCACGGTCTGCACTGCTGCCACTGACAGCTCGGGACAGGGCCCCTGGCACAAGGCTCACCGCCACTGCTGTCACCCACTGCCCAGTAAGTGCTCTCCCAGATTCTGCTCTCCTGTGTCATCAGCTCCACATGCACAGTCTGGAGCAAGTGGACCCGGCTGGTTGACCTCAGCTCCTGTGCCCCTGCCCTGGCAAAAGAAAATGGGCTCTGCTTCCTATAAATACTCATAAGGGGTGAAGTTCTCAAAACAGGAAGGGAAGTTAGATGTTGAGAAGACAAAAGAGAAAGACATGTGCACCACACCCTTTTAAGTAGTGTGTACATTTTAGCAGAGGACTTCTTGAAGCAAATTCTTTGCATAAAAAAGTGACTCAAGTGATGAAAACTTCAGACAGATCCTCAGGCCAGCAAGGGAGATAGTTTGGGGTCAGGCAGGCCTTTTGAAGCCCCTCCAGTCATACCATGTAGCTCGCCACCCATTGTACCTGTTTTCAGGCGCCAGCCTTGCAGGATGGAGCAAACTGAGAAGACATTAGGACAGAACCCTACCCCTGCCTGTGGCAGGAACTTCAGAAGGCTGTAAGCTTTTCTTAGTCTGCTAGTTCATCACTAGGGTCCAAAGGCTGTTTTCCAAGTTTATTTCCGTGTAGTAAGAAGAAAGGTAAGAGCAGGGGGATTTCTGCCTCCAGTCCTGAGCTGTGGTTTCTCCAGCAAATTCTGTACCTTTGTTCTGCTTTTCCCACCTCTACCTCCACCTGCAGGAGAAGAGTACACTCTGATGTCCACTCTGCGGGTGCCAGAGGGGGAGGACCCACAGAGCCTGTCCCCAGAGTTCCCTGGGGAGACCAGCATGGTGTCTGCCTAAGTTCTCCCATACAGCCAGATGGAGCACCAAGCGATTCTTCCTCAGTGGGTGGGAAGTGGGGGCCACCCCCGGATGCCACAAGCCAGAGTATTCAGACAGGAGAATATTCAGAATCAAAGATAAATAATGTCAGAGTTTGGACCTGTTAGCATAAGTAACAATAGTGTCGATTTTGAAAATCCCATCACAAAACAAAATCTTAAGGCTTTTCTAGAAGCCCAAAATAAGTTATTAGGTTATTATTGATAATAAGTTATCAAGTTACTGATTTTTTCAAGGACCCTAGTTGCGAGAAATTGGATCAACTATAATCCTTGGTTCATATCACTGGTCGTCTTTGGGCACTGCTGGTCCATGCATGGCCCACTTTTAACTATGTGATGTGCCAAATTTCTTCCATTTGCTTCTCTAGATCCATTCTCTACCCTTCTCTATCCTGCTCCAGGAGGCTGACCTCAGTGGGCTCCCTCTGGCTTTCTATTGTATTTAGTTGAGAAGGAGCCTTGGTAGATCGGAGAGAAGGAAGAAAGTGAGGCCAGAGTCTTCATTCTCCTGACCCCTCCATCTGGATTTGTCTCAAACCAGCTGCACTCACAACGAAAGCTCACATGCCTCTCAAGGTGGCCCTTTCCACACACACCTCTGCCTTGGGCTTCTAGGAACCACTTACTTCACGGGTTCTTTCTTTCTGGGCCTAGGGACGGGGAACAACTCTGGCATCACCAGCCCTGTGTGATTGCATTATCCCTTGTGGTTTGCCTTTCTCTGCCCACCCCTCTGTAAACAGTCCCTTTATAAATTCTCCTAGAGTTATCCTTGTTTAAATGCAATTCTTACGTTCACCTATCTGGTTCCTTCTGGGGCCCTGGGTGAGCTGGTTGTTTATTCAGTAATACTGAGCCAGAGAAATGCTGGTACTTGTATCCGGGCGCCACAGACAGCTACGAATGCAACTGGAGGTATAAAGGCAAATCGCCCAGAGATGGTTGTCCCTCTGATTCCTATGGATGGGCACCTCATCATATTACAAGTAGTATATTTAAATGTAACCCAAATTGGAGAGGGAGGAGATTCCAGCCTTGGACCGTCTCTAAAATAATGTTGTGGTTGCGATGGCATGGGGCCAAAGGAAACACGACAGGTAGAGAAAAAGTGTTATAAAGAAAAGAAAAGGATTGGTGGGAATGTAAATTGATACAGCCACTATGGAGAACAGTACGGAGGTTCCTTAAAAAACTAAAAATAGAATTACCATATGATCCAGCAATCCCACTACTGGGCATATACCCAGAGAAAACCATAATTCAAAAAGAGACATGCACCCCAATGTTCATTGCAGAACTATTTACAATAGCCAGGTCATGGAAGCAACCTAAATGCCCATCAACAGATGAATGGATAAAGAAGTTGTGGTACATATATACAATGGAATATTACTCAGCCATAAAAAGGAATGAAATTGGGTCATTTGTTGAGGTGTGGATGGATCTAGAGACTGTCATACAGAGTGAAGTAAGTCAGAAAGAGAAAAACAAATATCATATATTAACGCATGTATGTGGAACCTAGAAAAATGGTACAGATGAAACTGGTTTGCAGGGCAGAATTTGAGACACAGGTGTAGAGAACAAACGTATGGACACCAAGGGGGCAAAACCGCGGTGGGGGCTGGGGGGTGGTGGTGTGATGAATTGGGAGATTGGGATTGACATGTATACACTGATGTGTATAAGATTGATGACTAATAACCTGCAGTATAAAAAAACAAACAAACAAACCAAAAACCAACTAATACTAAACTTTCTTTGGGTTATTTGTATGGAAATATGTTAATATAAATGTTTCAGACATTAAAAAAAAAAAAGAAAAATACTCCCCACTAACCAGCGTCTTCTACTCCATCCTCATCAACAATTACCAAGCCTTTATTTTGTGCTAAGTGCTTTATGTGGAATATTTCACTTAAATTGGGAAAACCCTAGGCTGAGAGCAGTTCAGATTTGCCCATGGTCACAGAAAACTGTGATAACGACATTTAGCATTAGGCTGGAGAAGAGACAGCAGCTTCAACAACTTGATCATCTCTATCAAGTCTAACAAACTGTCAGTCTAGAGCAATCTGTAGGCAGCTGGTTGTTACTGAATAGCACACATTTGCTGGTAAAATGGCAAAAGTGCAAAGGTTCATATGGTGCAGAGGTGAGGAAGTCCAGAGTAGTTGAAGGTCACCCATCCTTCTGAGGCTGTTCTGAAGGCAGCAGCAGGGTTTGGTGACAGCCTGCAGGTAATTTACAACAGAGGAATCTCACTCAGTTCCTTCCTCCTCCAGTCAGTCATGCAGCATCTTCCCACTCAACCATCAAGACAAAAGGCTGAGGCAAAAGGATTCTAGTTTTCACCATGATTTTAAAGGTTCATTGTAGGGGAAGGGACTGACCAGGAAACTATCTTTGCCAGGGAGGAGACCATTTCTGGGATAACCAAGTTTTTCAAATGCAGAACCCAACTTTTATAGATGCATTTTCTCTGGGAAGAAAGGTTAGGTGAAACATCAGTGGACATGGTACTCCCTCAGAGACTTAGGAGTTCTTAAGACACTGACCCATTCACTCTAGGACATCTGAGAGCTCAGGCAGTTCTTGGTCTTAGCGTTAGTTACCAGGAGTAGTAGACCAGGGCCAGCTAAGCCCCAGGAAAGGCTGCAATGCACGGGCCTCGACATTCCAGATGGAGTCTCTCTCAAATTACACTTCTCAGTGGTCCTTAAAAACTGTCTTCAGTGACTGCTCCCAAGAGCTGCTTGCATCTTTCACACACAGGCTAGCCACGGCTCTCGTTTTAATTTGTCCCATCGTCATGCCAGTGCAATGACCATTCTCGGCAGCATTTTGGCTGTTCTTGGTCCTGTGGTCATTCCTCAGGCACTCAGTCTTGTACTCGCCCCATCTCCAGAACCCTTCATATGAAAAATATGGAAACTAGATTCTAAACTTCGGTTATATTTAACTCTTATCACTGGACACACTGAGTTTGTAACAAATAATCTGCCCCTCCCCTGCTGATTTCAAGGGTGTTTGGCTTATAAAGGGCAACCCAGCAAACCATTTTTCATTTAAGAACATGCATAGCAATACTGATACCAGTGGAGTCCGTGTCACAATGATTCACGCTTAATAACTTTAGACAACCGTATCACACGTGTTTCTGAAACTGAGAGAAGAAGTTTCAAAGTCTCAAAATCTTTGGAGAAGTGGCATTAGCAGAACGCAGTTTGACAACAATCTTTCCCACAGAGCTCCAAAAAACGTTGTCAGAGAGGTGGGCATGGGGAAGGTACAGGGCCAATCCAAATTTTAATGCGGATAAAATTGGCTTGAACACTGGAGTGGCCTCCATAGTGCAACCCTGATAGAGCCTGTGAGGCTCCGAGGAGAAGGGGGGCCACACGGGGAGGACACGGAGAGTGAGGGGGAGGGTCATGCGTTCTGGAGGGTGGGTGTGTTTTCTTTCTTTTCCGGCTACTGTTATCAATGTGGTGAGTGCATCCCTTCAGTTGAATGCCCTGGAGAGGAAGCCCAGGGCTTCCTGTTGTCTTACCAGTGCTGCAAAATGCAAGTTAGAAATAAAGAAAAAAGGGAAAAGGGCAGGGGGGGAGTGGGAAGCTCCTCTGGGTAGGTCAGGGACGCCAGCCTCCACGAGGGAACCCAGCTCACCTTTTCCTTGAGATGTTGCAGCAAGGGCACATCCTCAGCTGCTTCTCAAATCAATCAGGATCCAGAAAATAATCTCTCTCCAGAAAAAGGACATTTTTGAGCAACAACAGAATAGATAAGAAGGTTGGAGACCTTAAAAGGAAGGATAAGGTAATACGTATAGAGGGATACTGCCAAAGAAATATACTTCTCCCCTGCTTAATGCCCTTAAAATACTTCTATTTGTGGGGCTCTACCCCAAAGTTTTGCAGTGTTAGAAAGAATCATTTAAATATCAGATTCTGGTTTATTTTGCTGCTATGCGCTCTTAGCTATCTATGAGATGCTTGATGAGATTTAGCTGAAATAACATCCTGGCCCCTGGGGTGAAGCACACAGGCGGTGCCAACAGGTTGCCACATATTTACCTATTTACCTATTTATAGCACCATAATCAACATAAATACTTATTTATATCACCACATAACTTACCACTTAATAAAATAGCCTGCCCTCGCCTTGCTTTTCAGTGGCCAATTTTTTTCTTCTGTTCTTCAAAAGGCCAATTTTATCCCCTTTGAAATTTGGTTTGGCCGTGTACCTTCCCCACACCCTCCTCATAGATAATATTTTTTGGAGATCTGTGGGAAAGACTGTGGTCAAGCTG